ACTCGGGATTTCAAGTGACGGTGATGATCGAAGGATTTTTTGGGTTTGAAATTTTCGGTTCCGGGATTTTTTTGGGTACGAAAATTTGGCAAGTATTTTTTTGGGTAGCTTGATTTGAGTAGGGATTTTTGGGGGGTATTAAAAAGAATCGGTAGTGCCCTGGCTGCGTAGGTCTGCGAATAAAGTACAAACAAACGTGTTTTGCTGTTGTTTAATAGTTAACTATGGTGTCGCTTTACATCGCACGTGTTATACAATAGTTTGCATTGCCCCGTGGTGCCCGGCCGTGTACAAGACTTCAACCTTTCTTTGTGTTATAGCATTACCCCTTTCTGAAACTTTTAAGGGCCACAAAATTGGCACGGGATTTTTTGGGAGTTAATTTTTGGTCCAGGGATTTTTTTGGGTTTTGCTGGAAGCCCTAGGGATTTTTTTGGGTCTTGACTTTTGGCTCCATTCGATCATCCCCGTCACTTGAAATCCCGAGTACCCCCCCCCTGGGACGTGACGTCAATAAAAATCAAACCAAAAAACTATCGATTCTTCCGAGTTTCTACTTTCACGAGGTATTACAGTACCTAAACACCTTTATATAAACAAATTTTTGGTTCCAAAGGGTTCTTCGTTCTGCGAGAGAGGACGCTTGAAGTTCCAGGCTTTTGCGTGACGCGGCATTTAGCTGACGGCCAGGAGAGCTCTTAATATGTGTGTTAAAAACATTACCGATTTTGGGAGATTTTGTTATCTAAACATTCCCTGTCTCAGAATAAATATTACTTTAATCTTTATGAGTTCCTCAAGCGCAGAATTCACGCATTAGTAGGAAAACTTTAAAACAGATGTTTCCGTTGGTATCCATACAAAGCTTTATAAATTTACTACTAGGTAAATCGTTTTTCCGAATATGTCGCATTTGAAATATTGCACAGACCTGATTTTAGGCAAGATGTTTTGTATATTTATCTTCTCTCATTTCCCAGATCCTAGACGTTCTGTATTGAATGGTTTGCATTTTTATTTTTCATTGCGTGACGGTGCAAACCGAGAATTCTGACAGGATCTTATAGCTAACAGATTCAAAGCAACGTTTAGCATGGTTAGAAATAAGTATAAAAAACTGGACAAAGTTAATGTTTGGCCGAAGATCTGTAGAAAACAAAGCGAAATATTTTCAGAGGAAAAAGCTCCCGTGAACGATTCCCAGTACCAGGAAATACTCTGGCTGAAAGTAAAGTAAGTAATGGCGTCATTTCGTTGCTATGACAACTCTGCTGTCATTGTAAGCCTGATCATAACAAATTTTCAATGTTATCTAATACAGCTGTGGTAATAATTTTTCCAATTCTTTGTTAATGGCGACGTAGCTTGTGCTCAAACTTCTGAGGTATTGACCATGTTAAAACCCTATAGAGCCACCTTCGTTCGAGGAAAACGAGCACGGTGACACTTTTCTCGTGCATAATAAAGGTATGTCATTTTGGACCTTCTGTAAAAGCGGTTTCCGTACTATAACCCTGACGGTACTCCGGAGGCTAAAGTGGATAACGGCCAAAATTCATCAGGTGTCTGTGTGTTTGATCAAACACATCCTGCTCAGTCAGCTTCAACACAGATTGAATTGCAGTCTGAAATGGATACCAAGGAGCAGCTTCTTGGCAACCCTGAATAATAAACCCTGATCCACGCTGTTCTGGTTAATGAAGACAGAGAAAAATGCAATACATGCGTGACCATGTAGGGAAAAAGCTTACAGATCAGAGTTATAGTTTAAAGTAAAAACAATTTATTTGCAAATTGAATACAATAAAATCTGTCAAGGCTTTCAGTGACAAAATTATCCGCATACCTGTAAGCTACTATGCGATAGCTAACCACTGAAACCTTCGTTTTTCTCCCTCTTTCTTCTCTTTTATGATCTTTTATAACCTAAGTCTGTGTCTTTGTCCTGTCAAACGTAAGGTTTGTTTTTGTTGCAAATTATTAATAACGCTTGATAAACTGTTTTATGAACATTTCCTTACAAAAATTATTCGTGCGTGTGTTGCTAGTAAAGACAGGTTTTATACAATTCAAAATACTAGTGTGTTATTTTTACTCAGATGTCGACGAATGCACTGCTTCCTTTCCTGTCTGTGATGTCAATGCTCAATGTTCGAACACTCGTGGGTCTTATAGCTGCAGATGCAAAGTTGGTTATTCTGGAAGCGGAAAAACTTGCAAAGGTCTGTGTGGAGGTGGTATCAAACAGCTTTTGCAGCGAGATAAGGATAAGCAACACTAGATTTACTTGTCTCGAAACTTCGAACTGGTAGCTCGTTCTACCTCGCAGCAATTGTGTTTTGAATTCCAAAACAATTTTAAATCTTAATTTTGAACGACTTTTTGTTACGGACTTGTGCTCCAACTCATAACAAATTTTCGATGTTATCTAATACAGCTGTGGTAATAATTTGTTTTAAAAATTATTTTTACTCAGATGTCGACGAATGCACTGCTTCGCCATCTCCTGTATGTGATGTCAATGCTCATTGTTCGAACACTTGTGGGTCTTATAGCTGCAGATGCAAAGTTGGTTATTCTGGAAGCGGAAAAACTTGCAAAGGTCTGTATGGAGGTGGTAGCAAACAGCTTTTGCACTAAGATAAGAATAAGCAACACTAGAATTTTACTTGTCCCGAAAATTCGAACTGGTATCTCCTTCTACCTCAGAGCAATTGTGTTTTGAATTCCAAAACAATTTCAAAGCTGAATTTTGAACGACTTTTTCAGTACTATATCAATAAAAGCCGATACCAGAAATTTCATTAAAAAATTATGAGCCAAACTTTTCACTGAACGTCATTTTCCTTAAACAGTAGGAGCTACTATACTTAACTTCTTATTTCGCAAAAAATACATTTACCAGCAATGAAATCGAAGTATTTCAACTTATTGCTAAAGGATATCGGTGATTTTTTGCAAAGCCAGTTCCGAGCCATCGCGTTAAAAACGATAAAGTTACAATGAAAAGGTCGTCATAGATCAATGAGCGTCTATTAATTGGGTCCAAATGTTATTACAGATGGTACCTTTATTACACTTGGGTCCAGTTGTTACACTATTGCCTTCTACAAGACCAACATGAATCGTATGATTTCGTGCTAACTTTTCAAGGCCAAATTCGGAAGGGGTTAAGTCTGTCAACGTTGATGTTAACGGCATACTTGCCCTCAGCGAATTTCGCTTGCCGAACAAACAATGCTTGACAGGCTTAACAGAGGGAACATAAAAATGTTTTACCAAAGAAAATAAAATATATGTATGTTTCTCATCCCTCTTTTGTTTATTTTCAGATATAAATGAGTGCGCAGCTAACTCTGATAACTGTGACGTCAATGCTGTTTGTCAAAATACCGTGGGCTCTCATACGTGTTTATGTAAGGCTGGATATACAGGAAATGGAAAACAATGTCGTGGTAAGGACGTTTTAAACGAAATACAGTAAGAAAGACTGAAGGCTATTTTAAACTCACACCACTTTTTTTCAGTAGTATGGGCTCAAAATCACCCGGTTCCCATACTGCCGAGGTGCTTGTATTGGTAGCGTAGACAGTTGTGCCTGCGACAAAGTTCTCCATTCCAAATTGGGAGCGAAGCGAGCCCCGCTACGGAACGCAAAAGCGAGCGGCTAGGGGTAGGGAAAAGGAGAGGTCGCAACTATCTCTACAGGGTTTTCATTTCTGGTTCAACAGGGCCGCGAAGCGAAATACCATTTGGCTGAAAAAATAACCTTCCTGCCATAAACATTTTCTGTAAATTTACATACAAAGCTTAACGTGCTTGGCTCCGAGAAAGAAAACAGGGCGAGAAAGAAAATCGCTCTATCTTTCCATTCCTTTCCTCACCCCTCGTTTCCGCTTCTCCTTTCGCACACCGCTCGTAACCTCGTACGATGAACCCAACTGAAGAGGTCTTTCGTTAAGGCTGATGAAGAGTGTTGTATAAATAATATAGCACATAAGAAATAATGACATTCTGTTGAATTTTTTACTCCGGCGTTGGCGAATGCACTGCTTCTAATTTTTCCCTTCGTGAGGTCAATGCTCAATTTCCGAATGCTCGAGCTCGTGGGTCGCGACCAAAGTGCGTTAAGAAGGACCTGAGGAGGAGGCAGAATTAGCAGTCAGAGCATTGTACTGATTATTAGTAAAATTTAAAAATGATTGAATGAACAAAGCAGATTCCAAAAGTATTACGTATCACCTCCAAAAATCTACCATTTTTTTTAATTTACACTTTTAGACGTGGAACGTTCACTCCTGTGATGTCAACGCTCTGCTAGCGAATTTCGCTAGCCTAAAAACATGCTTAACAGAGGGAACATAAAAATGTTTTGCCAAAGAAAATAAAACATTTTTTTTATGTTTCTCATCCCTCTTTTATTTATTTTCAGATACAAATGAGTGCACAGCCAACTCTGATAACTGTGACGTCAATGCTGTTTGTCAAAATACCGTGGGCTCTCATACGTGTTTATGTAAAGCTGGATATACAGGAAATGGAAAACAATGTCGTGGTAAGAACCGTTTCAAGGAAATACAGAAAAGAGACTATTGGCCATTTTAAATTCCCACCCTTTTTTTTTTCAGTAGTATGGGCTCAAAATTACCCAGTTCCCATGTTGCCGAAGTGCTTGTATTGATAGGCAGCGAAGACAGTTATGCCTGCAAACAAGTTCTCCATTCCATAAACATTTTTTGTCAATGTAGATACAAAGCTTAACGTGCGTGGCTCCGAGAAAGAAAACAGGGCGAGGAAGAAAATCGCTCTTGACTATCTTTCCATTCCTTTCCTCATCCCTCGTTTTCGATTTTCCTTTCGCACACCGCTCGTGATCTCGCACGATAAACCCAACTAAAGAGGTCTTTCGTTAAGGCTGCTGAAGAGTGTTATATAAATATAATGGGACATAGTAAATAATAACATTCTGTTGAATTTTTTACTCCGATGTTGGTGAATGCACTGCTCCTAATTCTCCCCTTCGTGTACGTCAATGCTCAATTTCCGAACACGCGTGGGTCGCGATCAAAGTGCGTTAAGAAGGACCTGAGGAGGAGGCAGAATTAGCAGTGAGAGCATTGTACTGATGATTAGTAAAATTTTAAAATGATTGCAATGAACAAAACAGATTCCAAAAGTATTACGTATCACCCCCAATACAATTTCAAAGCTGAATTTTGAACGACTTTTTCAGTACTATATCAATAAAAGCCGATACCAGAAATTTCATTAAAAAATTATGAGCCAAACTTTTCACTGAACGTCATTTTCCTTAAACAGTAGGAGCTACTATACTTAACTTCTTATTTCGCAAAAAATACATTTACCAGCAATGAAATCGAAGTATTTCAACTTATTGCTAAAGGATATCGGTGATTTTTTGCAAAGCCAGTTCCGAGCCATCGCGTTAAAAACGATAAAGTTACAATGAAAAGGTCGTCATAGATCAATGAGCGTCTATTAATTGGGTCCAAATGTTATTACAGATGGTACCTTTATTACACTTGGGTCCAGTTGTTACACTATTGCCTTCTACAAGACCAACATGAATCGTATGATTTCGTGCTAACTTTTCAAGGCCAAATTCGGAAGGGGTTAAGTCTGTCAACGTTGATGTTAACGGCATACTTGCCCTCAGCGAATTTCGCTTGCCGAACAAACAATGCTTGACAGGCTTAACAGAGGGAACATAAAAATGTTTTACCAAAGAAAATAAAATATATGTATGTTTCTCATCCCTCTTTTGTTTATTTTCAGATATAAATGAGTGCGCAGCTAACTCTGATAACTGTGACGTCAATGCTGTTTGTCAAAATACCGTGGGCTCTCATACGTGTTTATGTAAGGCTGGATATACAGGAAATGGAAAACAATGTCGTGGTAAGGACGTTTTAAACGAAATACAGTAAGAAAGACTGAAGGCTATTTTAAACTCACACCACTTTTTTTCAGTAGTATGGGCTCAAAATCACCCGGTTCCCATACTGCCGAGGTGCTTGTATTGGTAGCGTAGACAGTTGTGCCTGCGACAAAGTTCTCCATTCCAAATTGGGAGCGAAGCGAGCCCCGCTACGGAACGCAAAAGCGAGCGGCTAGGGGTAGGGAAAAGGAGAGGTCGCAACTATCTCTACAGGGTTTTCATTTCTGGTTCAACAGGGCCGCGAAGCGAAATACCATTTGGCTGAAAAAATAACCTTCCTGCCATAAACATTTTCTGTAAATTTACATACAAAGCTTAACGTGCTTGGCTCCGAGAAAGAAAACAGGGCGAGAAAGAAAATCGCTCTATCTTTCCATTCCTTTCCTCACCCCTCGTTTCCGCTTCTCCTTTCGCACACCGCTCGTAACCTCGTACGATGAACCCAACTGAAGAGGTCTTTCGTTAAGGCTGATGAAGAGTGTTGTATAAATAATATAGCACATAAGAAATAATGACATTCTGTTGAATTTTTTACTCCGGCGTTGGCGAATGCACTGCTTCTAATTTTTCCCTTCGTGAGGTCAATGCTCAATTTCCGAATGCTCGAGCTCGTGGGTCGCGACCAAAGTGCGTTAAGAAGGACCTGAGGAGGAGGCAGAATTAGCAGTCAGAGCATTGTACTGATTATTAGTAAAATTTAAAAATGATTGAATGAACAAAGCAGATTCCAAAAGTATTACGTATCACCTCCAAAAATCTACCATTTTTTTTAATTTACACTTTTAGACGTGGAACGTTCACTCCTGTGATGTCAACGCTCTGCTAGCGAATTTCGCTAGCCTAAAAACATGCTTAACAGAGGGAACATAAAAATGTTTTGCCAAAGAAAATAAAACATTTTTTTTATGTTTCTCATCCCTCTTTTATTTATTTTCAGATACAAATGAGTGCACAGCCAACTCTGATAACTGTGACGTCAATGCTGTTTGTCAAAATACCGTGGGCTCTCATACGTGTTTATGTAAAGCTGGATATACAGGAAATGGAAAACAATGTCGTGGTAAGAACCGTTTCAAGGAAATACAGAAAAGAGACTATTGGCCATTTTAAATTCCCACCCTTTTTTTTTTCAGTAGTATGGGCTCAAAATTACCCAGTTCCCATGTTGCCGAAGTGCTTGTATTGATAGGCAGCGAAGACAGTTATGCCTGCAAACAAGTTCTCCATTCCATAAACATTTTTTGTCAATGTAGATACAAAGCTTAACGTGCGTGGCTCCGAGAAAGAAAACAGGGCGAGGAAGAAAATCGCTCTTGACTATCTTTCCATTCCTTTCCTCATCCCTCGTTTTCGATTTTCCTTTCGCACACCGCTCGTGATCTCGCACGATAAACCCAACTAAAGAGGTCTTTCGTTAAGGCTGCTGAAGAGTGTTATATAAATATAATGGGACATAGTAAATAATAACATTCTGTTGAATTTTTTACTCCGATGTTGGTGAATGCACTGCTCCTAATTCTCCCCTTCGTGTACGTCAATGCTCAATTTCCGAACACGCGTGGGTCGCGATCAAAGTGCGTTAAGAAGGACCTGAGGAGGAGGCAGAATTAGCAGTGAGAGCATTGTACTGATGATTAGTAAAATTTTAAAATGATTGCAATGAACAAAACAGATTCCAAAAGTATTACGTATCACCCCCAAAAATCTACCAATTTTTTTAAATTTAATTTACACTTTTAGATGTGGACGAGTGTTCCAAAAACGTTCACTCCTGTGATGTCAACGCTCTACGTCTTCCTTGTCGTGCTATTGTCGCGTAACTTCAGTTCTATTTTACTGAGCAAAATAGTTGTTTCTGAATTTACCTAATTATATCCTGACTGCCATTTCTCTATTTAGGGCTTGTATTCTTTTATATTTTTATAATTTACTATTTATATTTACGCTTTGATTTATTCTGACAAGATCTTACAGCTAACGGATTCAAAGCACCCGTTAAGGTGGCTCGATAGCGTTTTTGACCTCCAAAGTTTGACCAAAACTACGCCGCCATTAAAGCTTTCATGGGTAGAAATATGGTAAAATCTGGACAATCTTAATGTTCGGCCGTTATCTGTAGAAAACAGAGCGAAAATTTCTCGGAGGAAAAAAGCGCCCGTGAACGATTCCCAGTGCCAGGAAATACTCCGGCTGCAAGTAAAATAAGTAATGGCGTCATTTCGTTGCTATGACAACTCTGATGTCATTGTAACCCTGATCATAACAAATTTTCGATGTTATCTAATACAGCTGTGGTAATAATTTTTCCAATTCTTTGTTAATGGCGACGTAGTTTATGCTCAAACTTCGAAAGTATTGACCCTGAAAACCCTATAGAGCCACCTTTAGTCGAGGAAAACGAGTACGGTGACACTTAAGCTTGTAGGGTAAGTTCGTAGCTGGTCACGTGATCANAATGAAGGTCATTGTTCCCATTTCCATGAGACCTCAGATGATTTCCAGAGTCCATTCCAGTCACTTAGGACCTGATGCCTGTGTACGTCGAGCACGTGATGTGTTATTTTGGCCAAGTATGGCAGGCCAAATCAAGGAACAAGTTCAAAACTGTGAAGTTTGCAATGACTTTCTAGCCAGACAACAGAAGGAACCGTTAATGACACATAAGATTCCAGATACCCCATGGTCAAAGGTTAGTCAGGGTCTCTTCACCTATGGAAGTGAGACCTTCCTAGTGACTGTTGACTATTACAGTGATTACTTTGAACTAGATTTGTTGCAAGATGCAACTAAAGAGTCTGTAGTTGTCTCAGTCAATTCCTCAGTTAAAGGCCGAATAACAGTTTCCGCTTCTCCTTTCGCACACCGCTCGTAACCTCGCACGATGAACCCAACTGAAGAGGTCTTTCGTTAAGGCTGATGAAGAGTGTTGTATAAATAATATAGCACATAAGAAATAATGACATTCTGTTGAATTTTTTACTCCGGCGTTGGCGAATGCACTGCTTCTAATTTTTCCCTTCTTGAGGTCAATGCTCAATTTCCGAATGCTCGAGCTCGTGGGTCGCGACCAAAGTGCGTTAAGAAGGACCTGAGGAGGAGGCAGAATTAGCAGTGAGAGCATTGTACTGATGATTAGTAAAATTTTAAAATGATTGCAATGAACAAAACAGATTCCAAAAGTATTACGTATCACCCCCAAAAATCTACCATTTTTTTTTTTAATTTAATTTACACTTTTAGACGTGGACGAGTGTTCCAAAAACGTTCACTCCTGTGATGTCAACGCTCTACGTCTTCTTTGTCGTGCTATTGTCGCGTGACTTCAGTTCTATTTTACTGAGCAAAATAGTTGTTTCTGAATTTACCTAATTATATCCTGACTGCCATTTCTCTATTTAGGGGTTATCTTCTTTATCATATTTTTATTTATTTAGTATTTATTTATTTACTATTTATATTTACGCTTTGATTTATTCTGACAAGATCTTACAGCTAACGGATTCAAAGCACCCGTTAAGGTAGCTCGATAGCGTTTTTGACCTCCAAAGTTTGACCAAAACTACGTCGTCATTAAAGCTTTCATGGGTAGAAATATGGTAAAATCTGGACAATCTTAATGTTCGGCCGTTATCTGTAGAAAACAGAGCGAAAATTTCTCGGAGGAAAAAGCTCCTGTGAACGATTCCCAGTGCCAGGAAATACTCCGGCTGCAAGTAAAATAAGTAATGGCGTCATTTCGTTGCTATGACAACTCTGATGTCATTGTAACCCTGATCATAACAAATTTTCGGTGTTATCTAATACAGCTGTGGTAATAATTTTCCAATTCTTTGTTAATGGCGACGTAGTTTATGCTCAAACTTCGGAGGTATTGAACATGTTAAAACCCTTTTTGCAGTGAGATAAGAATAAGCAACACTAGTACTTCTCTCGAAAAATCGAACTGGTAGCTCGTTCTACCCCAGAGCAAATGTGTTTTGAATTCCAAAACAATTTCAACGCTGAATTTTGAACGACTTTTAGATACGGACTTCTGATCCAACGATTTCTTTGAAATTTCTCTGGCATATTTTAGTACTATATCAATAAAAGCCGATACCAGAAATTTTATTTAGAAGTTATGAGCCAAAATTTTTACCGGACGTTATTTTCAAAACAGTAGGATCTACTTATGCGCTTATTTCGCAAAAAAATATTTACCAGCAATGAAATCGAAGTATTTCAAATTATTGCTGAAGGATATCGGTAATGTTTTACAAAGTTTCCGAGCCATCGCGTTAAAAACGATAGAGTTATGATGAAAAGGTTGTCATAGCTTAAATAAGACCGAATGCATTTATTATATCATCAGTACGGATTTTTTTTTTTTTAACTATTGAGGAAATCGTATTTTATATTCAGCATCATACAGAGCTGTATTTACAAACCTTGGTGCAAGTGGGAGACTGGGCCCAACTTCTCTTGGTAGTCACTATAGTGGTCAGGTTCACGACGGTCAAGTTACATTGGTCAGTGGTATTCAACGATGGACTGTACCACACACAGGTGACTACAGGATAGAGGCAATAGGAGCTGCAGGGGGATATGGCATAAGAAGCAATGACCAGTATCGCGGCCGAGGTGCCAGATTAAGAGGAACTTTTCGCTTATCCAAAGGAGAAACAATAAAGATACTTGTTGGTCACGAAGGAAGTACTACTCTAAAGAGTGAAAGCTCAGGTGGTGGAGGAGGTACGTTTGTAGTGAGTGGAAGTAACACGCCTTTGATAGTAGCTGGAGGAGGAGGTGGCATAGAAACTGCTAAATCAAGACATTTGGGATGCGATGCTTCCACAGGGACGGCAGGGAATGCTGGGTATAGGTCATGGTCGGGAGGGAGTGGTGGACAAGGAGCAACGACCGCTGACAGTGGTAACTCAGGTAAGCTGAGTCTGCGAAAAGCTCAGTGATGCCACCACGACAGTGGCAATCTATGCTAACCTTCGCATCTAACTTCATTAAACTTCTTCCATTTAGAGCTTTACCTTAGCCTTTAAAGGTCTTTTGAGCTTGGGCGCTCGGTCACTTTTACAGTTTCGCGTTATACTACGCAATAAAATGTTTTTAGGAGGTAAAATGATAATTTACACCAATCGCAGTGATTAACCGTTCAGTAGAGACCTCCAATTGCTAAAAATGTTCCAATTTGAAAACGTCGATAATTTTCAACCGAAAACTGTAGTAAGCCGCCTTAAAGGTCGTTGACTTTGGCAAACTTTAAGGTGGCTCTTTCTAGTTGCTTCGCGTGGGGTGCCCATCGAGCCCGCGCCCATCTCACTTTGTACGCGCGAGAGAAACAAAGCAAATATGGCGCCGCGCATCTATATTTTCGTGTAAGTTTGCTTTTGTTCAAAATTTACTCAAGAGTATGCTTTGTTTAAGATAAAATTAGTTTTTTATCAGACAATATATAGTGTAAAACCTTTGCTTAAACGCATGTTTTCAAGAGTGAAAAAACCTAAGCTCAATGCGTTAATTTCGAAAGGAATACTCGCATGTGCACTGTGATTGATCTTGACGGGGATTGGAAAAGCAAGGACTCGCCCTAACTACTAGCAAAACTTCAAAAACAAGAAGCCAGAGTACTACCACAGTCAACCATAGTTTATTTTCTTGGCTATATATTGTATCTTCAATCATGTTTTACTCCACGGCTACTGTGTAGCGCTCTTACAAGAGTGACGAAAACTGTTTCGGAAAACGTAAAGTGAGTCTCCTTCAAACAATTTCGTCTATATGCCACTTCGTGTTTTTGCTTATGTTGAAACGTAAGTCCAGATGGCTATATTTTCAGACTACCAAACGGGTTTACTGAACCTTACAAAAACGCACAAATATGCACGCGTGTAATTTTCTCTCACCGGCTCTGCAAGAACGGTAAGAAAAATCACCAGATGCCCGTAAGCGTACACGGTAAAATCAGAGGTAGTGAAGACAAAAACGCATAAGTAACCCGCGATCTTACAGAGTTCAGACGCAAACACGGAAACGCGAGTTGGAATTTCTGAAACCTCGAAGCGTTTTACAAGAAATCCGCGCCGGTGACCCCCTCTTTTTATTGTCTTGATATTTTACTAGAGTTAATAAGAGGAAACGACAGAAAAAAAAATGAATTAATTCTATGAAGAGAAACTCACTGCGCAATTCAATTCAATTCAATTCAATTTTATTATTCACACTTTGTAAAATATTTACTTTATATATAGTAAGGTAGGAATACACTAATAAAGTAGAAGAAGAAGGAAAAAAAGGAAAATTAATGGCTTGGGTAGAAGTGTACGGTGGTCAGAGGAGCTTAGCTTTCGAGCTAACCACCGCTATATTATGACTGGAAATACATTATAAACGTGCACTTGGTGCCGTGGCAACTATGGACGATTATGCCAGCAGTCAGGTTATGTGAGACAGTCATATTACAATTGTTACCTTTGAGAGCTAACTAGAATTCGCTTATATTCTTTTTTGAACTTTTGGTAGCTAAGAGTTTTTATCTTAGTAGGAATCTCTTCCCAAGTTTTGGTTATGGCAAACTTAAATGTGTGTTTGCCGTAATTTGACCTTACACGTGGTACGTGAGAGTTAAGATTTGAGGCATATCTGGTATTGTGTGAGTGAATATCAGACACCTTTACGAGGTAGTTTTGAAACACTTCAGGGATATTGGCTTCATTCTGTGAGATTTTGTGAGCTAGCAAGGAGATTTTGAGTTTAAAAATGCTATCTATGTTAAGTATGTCTAGAAGTTTGAGGTAGGGTGCACTACTTTCTCTATTATGGCTAAAAAATATGCAGCGTATACATTTATTTTGTTTTGTTTGAACTTTAGTTAATCTACTTGGGTATGTGTTTCCCCAGCTCATAATTCCATAATGAAGGTAGGGGTAGATAAGTGAGTAATACATTTGTTTGAGGGTGTTTAAAGTTAAGAAATGGCGTAATCTGAAAAGGATTCCCAAGTTTTTAGATATTTTGTTGTTAATGTGCTGCATGTGGGAAGCCCAATTTAGATTTTTGTCAATGTAGATACCTAGGTATTTGATGTAGTTCTTTTCTTCAATATTGTGTAAATTAAGCTTAAGTTTATTTGCTTTTTGGGGGAAGGAGACTGTCATATAGTGGGTTTTCTTAACGTTTACAGAACGTTTATTAGCAAAGCAGTAGCTAGGAAGATGGTTGGATTCCTCATTTATAGTTTTTTCAATTAAGGTCCTGTCGAGAATTGGAAGAGTAGAAGAGAGTGGAAGTGGTGTCATCAGCAAATGTTCTAATATTTGACTTTTCTAAACAATTGGGCATGTCATTATGCACTAAATGTCAGATAACAAGGGAAACAGTTAGTTTTGTTTTCCCGAGAGTCCTGGTGTTTACCGAGACGAAGTCGAGGGAAACATCAGGACTCGAGGGAAAACAAAACTAACTGGTTTCCCGAGGGACCTCACATTAAGTGTTTTGTTATATTTCTAGACTTTCACTTCAACAACAACAAAAGAATAACCGGAGCGAACCAAAACAGTCGACTCGGTACTTATAACACAAATTTAATTCTCAAAACCACTGAATGAATGATTTACAAACAAAAGTACTTTCCTTATATTATCTGCATCTTTTTCCTCCACTAGCTGCTGTTTTTCGTCTGGGAACTTCTGGGATGACTTTAAAAATCGTTGCTTTTTAGCTTGAGGCTTCGTGTTGGTGTTGTTGTGTTCATTCACGAAAAAGAAAACTGGCAGGACCTGGCGGTGTTTTTCCCGCCTTCTGTCACGCCACTTTCCACCATGCTTCGATCACGTGCTGCAATGTATCCTGTGAGGGATACATTGTTTAATGTATCACGATCGGGATACATTGATTTTAGTCAAGGCCACGTGACCAAGAATCAACCAATGGCAGTCCCTGTTTAGTTGAGTGAAAGTCTAGGAATATAACAATGATATATGTCAAATGTCCCATTTTCCCCTTTTACAAAAGATCCGTTTGAAGAAGTTTTTAAAATAATTGTAAATTTTTCTTTTGTAATGCCAAACTAGCTATCGTAAAAAATAGGGTTCACTGGCTTATTTTCAAGTGATTTTCAATGAAATGCAGGTATGGGATACGCGTTGGATACGTTACCATGGTAACCGTTAATGAAGAAAGTGTTGTTATCGCCGGCTTCGTTCTCTGTACTTTCAAGTGTTAAAACCGCCAAAAAAGGTGAAAACTGGTACGAGTCACCTTAAGTGAAATGGGTAGTAGTCGCCTTTATAAATGACAAATTAGTATTTAGAAGATAACTAAAATCCAGGCCTAAACTCCATTCGGAGGAAATCCGGTTTCCTGTGAATCCAAAGAGGCCATTTCAGTGGTTTACGGTGGCACATCTTCTTCTATCAATACATTCATATTGCTATTTTTAAAATTAAAGAAGACTCAAGAAATCCACCTGCGCATGTAATGTTATTTGTATTTTAGGTGGTGGCGGTGGCGGATTTTATTCCAGTGGAAGAAGCTCAAGGCAGTTCGGAGGCTCAATGGGGAATGGCGGAGAAGGAGGCGAAGGATTTCTTCATGGAGGAGTGGGTGGAAGAGCCTGGTATAACAATGCTGTAGGAGGATTTGGAGGAGGAGGAGGTGCATATGGAGGTTCAGGCGGAGGGGGTGCTGGAGGTGGAGGAGGATACTCTGGGGGAAGTAGCGGGGATAATGAACATGACTCCTGTGGAGGAGGGGGAGGATCTTACAACAATGGAAAGAATCAGCAGAATGAATGCTGTTATAAAACAGCTAGGCATGGTCAGGTGACCATAACATTAATATAGTTGACATATTGGCAACTCAGCAAGTACTCCAGCTTAAATGTTAGGTAAAGTAGCTTGTTATACAACTATTGTTATATCTTGTTATATCGTATCTTATCTTATACCGCTATCAGTATACCTGTAGCTAAAAACAGAAAAAAAACAACAACAACGAAACACTTTCTTGTCATGGGCCCTGGGCCCGGTTGCATAAAACCTGCACTTAAGTGCCCACTTAAGTAGGTCACTTACGAATCCGATATGGGTACACTTACAGGTGTTGCATGAAACGCACTTAGCACTCTAGTAAGATGCTGTTTTATTACGCGTGGTAACTTACGGGCTCACTTAAAGGCACACGTAACTTTGATATAGTACTTTATTAATGACTCACTCTTTTTTTTTTTTAAGCTAACCATCGGTGAGTGTAAAGAAAGTTTTATGTCGTTTCGAACACTTTTAAGCCTCTCAAAAAAATGAAATTTGCATGCAAACGTTACTTTTCTTCAATATCTACCGAAAATGATAGTTCTTTTTTTTTTCACAACGTCGGATTTAAAGTGTACATCAGAGGTTAACAAAGCGCATTAGAACGAATTACGTTAAGAAAAATACTTTTTCTCATACATTTTTCAGTAAAAGATCTCTTTAACTTTAGTAAAAACTCGAAGATACGAGACCTACACAGGTCCCGTAAATTTACGTGCTATTTTTCCAGTAAAAAAAGTTTTATGCAACACCCGCAATTTCTGTTGCATAAACGACACTTAAGTGAACACTTACGAAAATCGTAAATGCAACCACTTATTTTTAATTCCCTAAGTGGACCACTTAAGTGATTTCATGCAACTGACTTAAGTTACGAGTGCACGTACGTATACCCGTAGTTGATACGGACTTTTTATGCAACCGGGCCCAGGAAACGTGTCTACTTAAGGGATGTTAAAAATGCTACATGCAGACTGCTTACAGTCCGCCTTTTCTCTTAAAATCCGTTAAGTTCTTATCCCAGCCAGCGCGATTGCAAATAACGACGTCACAGTAAGGGATTTATAGGAAGAGACGAAAATAGACGATCTTTTTCTTCTCGGGTGTACGTCCACATTGATTGCGGCTAGCGTGCATGGGTTACTCGTGGAGTTGGTGGAGTAACTTTGCAGAGAAATTTAATTAGAGACTGCTCGCAGTCTACTGTACATGTATATTTACCTCCTTTCAAAATACCATACAGTTATTGCAACGGCAACACACGCTTTTTTAGCGGCGGATCCAGGAATTTTTTATTGGGAGAGGGGGTCCAAACTTCGGTTCAGAAAGGACTGTTGAACTTTCTTGTAGCAACTTACATACATATACATACATATATTGCAAAAATGTTTTACCCTTACTTAACGTACTGTAATATCGTATGGGCCAGTACCTATCCAACAAGGCTCGAGGGTATATCTAAGATTCAAAGGAAAATCGTAAAGATTGCAACGATTTCGAAATTTACACAGTAAACAAGGCCTATATTCCTTTCTTTGAATTTACTAACCATATAAGAGTTAAACTCTTATCAATTAGCATTATTCATGTATTTTTACTTTAGAGGACAATTGCTGCCATCTTTTTCAGATTACTTTTCGGAGAGTAATACTATTCATTCCTGTAATACAAGATCCGCGAACATTAGTGTACATTAAGTATAAAAGAACTAATTATTGAGTTTCTCAGTTAGATATAGAGGTACTATGATATGGAACAGTTGCCAAATAGTTTGAAGGAAATTAAGTCATTTCAGTTGTTCAAAATAAAATTGAAATGTTTTTGTTCAACAGAAATATACTGGCTATACATAGTGGAACATATATACAGTGTAATACTCTTGCTGCTTAATAATATTTTAAGGCCACCATATTCAACACGAATGTTTGTAATGCTTAAATTAAAAAGGGGACCTCCCAGGAAAAGCTCAGCTGAGCTTGCAGAGATCTCCCGCTAATAGATTATGTTATCGATGCAATACATTAGTAACTAAGTGGCAAATAAAGATTGCTTGATTGATTGATTGACTAAAAAGTGATATACCATCCTTTCCATATAAGAATTTAAGTCTCAAACAAGCTTCAGGTCTGAGAGGGGGTCCGGACCCCCCGGACCCTCCCCCTGGATCCGCCACTGTTTTTTCCTGATCTGTGATCGGCCGGTTGATGTTTGGTGGCCCCGCTCGCGTTCGTTGCACTTTCATTTTCAAAAGCATACGCATGTTACAGAACATTTAAAAGTGACAATAAATAGTAAAGAATACCGGAACCTTGTCCACTTTGAGTGTGCAAAAATTAGATTATAGCATGTTGATATGTTTTTTAAACGGTAAAACGTCAGGTACAGCAACCATAGTAGATACAACAAACAGACCTTCAGTTTATATAACATTGCCCATCCCGGATACTCACAATACTTGGGAGAAGTACTCTGAACATTCTCAAAGAACACTTTCTATCAAATTTATACTACAAAGAACATCATACAGTAAAACGATTTAATTCTTCAGTGGAACCCGGATTAACGGTCGCGCGTTATGCTCCGGCGCTAAGACAGTTACTGCAGTCACAGATACAAATGCCCTCATATAACACGGCCCTTTCACACCCATACCGCAGTTGTTGGATGTTGAGAAACTCTCGGTGTTCTTCCGACTGATTTCCAACTCTTGCTGGCCGATAAGGTTCCTTATATAGCCCTGAAATATACTATTTCGTTCCGCTGACAGCTAAGTATGAGGTCAAAGCACAAAAGCATCGAGGTGCAGTCAGCATCACACACACCTTTGTCGACAACTAATCTGCTCACCGAGTTCAGTGACCTCTTTCAAACAAAAAATGGTAAGGTATATAGATTTTGAAATAATGAATTTCAACCCTGACATATAGATTTTAGATTCCATTCTGACTGACATCTGCTTCAGGACCTAAGGGAAAGTTCATTTAATATGACAAGGGGGGGG